GGGGGGGCTGGGCCCAGGAGGGCTTAATGCGTGTATGTTGGCTGCAGCCTGGGCTGCTGGCCCAGGGCCCCCCAGGGAAGGAGATGGGTCCTGGTGCTGTGACTCTGATGGCACTGTCCGCGTTTGGGATTTTGGGTTTGTTTTCCTTTGGGAGGGGGCTTGGGGGGTGGTCAGTCAGGCAGGAGCCCTGGACCTGGGGATGCCCGGAGGGATGTGGGCTGCTCCAGGCCGTGGCGGGCGAGGCCTGGGGTGGTGGGAGCGGAGGCCGCAGGCCAAGGCGCCTGGTGCCTGGTGCCTGATGCAGCTGTCTCCTGAAACAGGGCTTGGCACCCGACAGTGTCTGTGCTGCAGGCGGGGGACGGGGTGAGGTGGGACCCCCATGTGCAGAGTCAGAGCAACTGGGAGGACCTGGGAGACGGGGGTGCCAGGCTGTGACTGGGGGGCCTGACCTGCCCGAAGACATCTGGCTGAACCAGCCGCGCCTTGCGCTGGGGTGGAGGCCCGGCCGGGTATGGTGGGGCCAGCAGGACCTGCCCTTTGGGGGTCTCGCCTCTGCCCCGCCTCTCGGCCCTGTGCTGGTGCCTTCTCCCAAGCTGGGGCCAGGCAGCCTCGCCTGGTGCCCCGCCCTCACCCCTTCCGATCTCCTGCCCTGGTTTGGGAGGCTGGCCGCAGCCCCTCTGGCCATAGCCCGGCCCTTGTGAGCCTGACTGACCCCTGGGGTCTCCCTTGGCCCCAGTGCTTCCCAGGGGAGCGTGTTTCTGAGATGGAAAGGTCGGAGGGCCTAGGGCAGTTCCGATAAGCCGCGTTCGCCCCCACAGCCGGGAGCAGGCAGGTCTGAGCAGGGCTGCAGCCCGTCTGCGCTTGGGCGCGTGCCAGGCCCGCTCCACATCGCTACCTGAGGATGTGTTTTCTGCTCGAGTTGGCAGCGGTGGCATGGGGGCAGGGAGGCCTTGGAGGAATGTGGCTGGCCAATGCGTGTCCCTTGTGGCTCGTGGCCCCGTGGGCCGGCCCGAGGTGGGCCGGGCCGGGCCGGTGCTCACCTCCCTGGCAGCCTGGGCTCCGGGCCCTGAGCCCCTGCCCCAGCTCGTTCCCTCCAGTGCCCCGGTGGGTGTGGCTGGCCCATCTCTTGGTGGGGGCCGGGGCCGTGGGGTAGTGTACGTTGGGGGCAGCCTGTCTCCCTGCCTGTGGCGGGTGGCCGGGCCGCTGGGAGTGTGGTGCTTGCTGATGCCAGTGCCCTGGTGTTTCCCCTGGCCACGCTGTCTCGCCTGTGGCAAGTCCAGCTCCATACCGAGAGCTGGGGTGCGTTTGGAACTTGGGGCACCCACTGGTTTTGATTTGCCGTGCCTGGAGAAAGCAGGGACTGTGCCCAGACTCCCTGGGGACCGAGGAGTGTCTGGGCCCCGCCTCAGGCCTTCGGCCCGGAGGGTGCTGGGCTCCTGCCCAGGGCCAGCTGGGACTCGGGCTCCGTGGGGTAGGGGGCACAAGGGGGGCCTTGGGAGCGGAAGGTGGGCCCCCACGGCGGAGTACGGGGAGCTGCCCCTCCTCACCGGACCCCTGGAGGCAAGCGAACTGGCAGCTGGTCTGGGCGCTGCACACCCCACACCTTGGGTGACCCTGGGCCAGCCCTCAACCCCCCACCCCAGCCCCTGCCAGTGCCCTAGGCAGGTTGGGTGGCCCTTGCACCCTGCTGTGGTCACCTGGGCCTATGTCTGTGCCATCTACAACTGTGGTTCCTGGTGGGCCAGGCTCCTGGCACTGGGGGTGGGGGTTGGAGACGAGGGATCCTTCAAAAGGCCGCCGAGTGGGAAAGCTGCCCCTCCTCTCCTGGCCCCACCCCACAGACCTGGAGTTGGCAGCTTCCACCCGGAACCTGGCCTTGAGCTGGTGGGGCTGAGGCCCCGTCCGGTCGCATGTGCGCGTGTGTGCACGAGCTCTCTCTGGAGGTGGTAGGTGGCTGCTAGAGGGTTTGGAGGGGCCTGGCGGCGGGTGGGCTCGGAGGAGCTGGCTGATGGACGCACGTGTGGCAGCCAGGGCCCTGGCCAGCTGGAGACCACACCTTCCCGCCTGCAAGCAGCTGTGCAGGCCCCTCGTGGTGGCCTTAGCCGAGGCGGGAAGTTCCCGCACACGCAGGTCGCCCTGGGCCGACCCCGGTGCTGGCTGCGCAGCCAGCCTGAGGTCCTGTGGCCGGCTTTCCCACCTGCGAGACGCAGGAAGCCGTGGTCTCCTGAAGGGGACAGGCTGTAGGCAGCCCCCAGCCCCCAGCCCCGCGTCGGCCTGCCAGTCCCCTCCCGTCCCCACTGGCTGCCCAGCAGAAGGCCAGAGTCCCTGGGAACTCTGGGTGCTCAGGGGTGTGGGGGACATTTTGGTTAGTCAGGGCCATTCCTACCCAAGTGGTGGGGGGTTCGGATGGGAATTGGGCAGAAGGCTTGGGCCCCACCACACCTGACAACCACGGGGCCTTGGCAACTGTGTGAGCCCCCTGCAAGGGTGCCAGGCTGAAGTCTGTGGGCACCTGTGCCACCCCAGTGGTGAGAAGTACCTCCCTCCCTGTGCCCCCCGTCCCCCACCTCAGGAGCTGGGAACTGGTTGAGCCCTGCCCCCCTTGGGGCTTCTTCTACATGCTGGTCCCCCTTCCTTCCTACACCTTGCCAGTGGGGCCAGGCGTCCTGCTTGGGTAGGGCTCAGCCTGGGCAAAGTGGGGACCTGGGAGGGCTGGGGAGTGGGCTTGGGCTTTATTCCTGGAGCTGGAGGGGGTTGGGGGCCCAGGCTGCCGCTCACAGGGATGAGGGCCCTGCAGGGTTGAGGCAGGGGCTTCATGGGAAAGGTTATGGCTCTTGGGGACTGTCAGGCTGCTCCGTGGTGTCTGGATAGGGGGCCAGGCTAGGCCGACGAGGGGATTCTTGGGGGAGCCAGGCCGGGGTCTCAGCTGGAGGTGGAGGTAGGGAGATAAGCATCTCTGATTCCCAGGTCCGAGCCAGGGTCCCCATCCCCAGGCCCCAGGTAGCTGAGCCCCCTCTCCAGACTTGAGGTGAGCAGGGGTTCCACCTCTCAAATCTCACGTGAATAGGGGTCCCCATCTCTCTGACCCCAGGCGAGCGGGGTGCCCACCCCCCGATGCCCGATGAGCCAGGTGTCCATCCCCAAGGTCCCAGGTGCACCAGGTGTGACTGGGGTCAGCATGACCTGGGCTTTGCTGCAGCCATGTCACAAGGTCCATGTGAGGAGGTTCTCAGAGCCCCTGGGCTGCCGGCTCGCGTCACATACAGGGGCCTGAGCCTGCGGGGGAGGGGTGCGCGCCCTGGCAGTCCCCCCGTCTCTGGTGTGGAGCGTGGGCGTCTGGGTTCCTGTGTGGGGTATGCCTGTGGTCCATTCATCCTTCCGTGGCCCCGGGGCCCAGCACCTTGGGAGGAGGCCGCCCCTTCCCCTCTCCTTCCGGTGACAATGGTGACAGAGGCCCGGGCCTCTCCAAAGCTCGGGTTTCAGGAAATGTATCTGTGCTCAGAGCTCCTGGCACTGACAGACACCGAGCCCCGCTCCGTGGGGGGCCGGGAGGCTGCTGCGGGCGCCGTGGGGAGGAAGCCAGGCTGGAGCGCATGGGGTGCCCCGTGCCATTTCCACGTCTTTGGGCCGCTGCCCTGTCACCCCTGTCTGAGGGTCCGTTGAAGGATTTGGACCTGGCCGGGGGCCTGGGCCAGGGCGGAGGCGGTCCACGGCAGGGCGGGGGTCTGCCAGTGCGGTGCCGGCGGGCGAGGGCAGGCTTGCAGGGAGAGATGCGGCTGGGCCTTCAGGGCCTGGGTGGACCGCCCAAGGCCTGGGGGAGGGACCAGTCTTCCTCTGCCAGCTTGCTAGGTAACCGCCCCCCAGCACTCACCCACCTGCCAGGCACCCACCCCAGACTATCCCCGGGACCTCGTCCCCTCCGAGGCCCCGCCCAGGCCCGCTGGCCCTCCTGCTCTGCGGGCCTGTGGCCCGTGAGGCAGGAAGCTCAGGGATGACAGGTTGCCGTTTGCACAGGGGAAGCTGAGTCCTGGAGGCCCGCCCAGGGGAGGCGAGGCAGCTGGGGGCCCAGCACTGAGGGAGGCTCAGGTTCTCCCTGGGTGACTTCCTGCTGTCCAGGTGTGGGGAGCCCAGCTGGCGGGCGGGCGGGTGCACACCCCTGCGGGAGCAGGTAACCGGAGCCCTGGGCTCGGTGAAGGTGGCGGTAATCCTACCTGAGCTCCTGGCGTGGGGTTTCCTGGGAGCCCGGAGCCCAGGTGTGGGGAGGCGGCCTGGGCCCGGGCTCCCGCCCTGCCAGTGGGCTTGACCTGCGGTGGTGGCCGCAGGCCCACCCTGGTGCGTGTCCGGCACTCAGCTGGTCGCCGGCTCCCTGCTCCTGTCTCTGCCCACCTTACTGGCCTCACTCGGACCCCGGGCAGCCTCTCCCTTTGCTGGAAGCCAGAGTTGGTTCTGGGCTGTGGCCGCACAGCCCGAGCGATGCCTCTGTCCTGTTCCTGCTGCCCCGCGTGGAGTCCTGCCGGCTGCCGCCCGTGCTCTCTGCAGCCCCAGCTGCGCCCTCTGGGAGGGCCCCCCGACCCCCACGTGGTACCACAACCAGAGCCCCACTGGCTCATCCATCTGCCGGGGCAGAGTCGTGGGCCCCGGCGACAGCCATGCCTGGTGCAGGCTTGACGAGCAAGTGAATGAATGAACGAATGAACAAATGGACAAGACAAGTGAAGCCGGGAAGGGACCTGGGGGTCCAGCTGTCACTGAGCGTGGGGATGACCGTGGCATTCCAGGCTAGGGGTGGGGTGGGCGTGTGGGGTGGCTGTGAAGCGTGCGGGAGCTGTGAGGACCCTCAAGAGAGCCGAGCGTGGGGGAGATGCGGACGGAGCCCCAGGGGCCCTTGGGCTCCGATGGACGGAGATCCGGAGGCCCCAGCGGCTGCAGGTGGACCTTGGAGGATGGGCAGCCTGGCCTGGGGCTCACCAGCCTGGTAGAGGGCGGTGGCCAGTACGGGGCACAGGTTTCAGGCAGACTCAGGAAGTGGGCCTGAGAGCCTGGTGACAGCCCCATGGCAGGCAGGGAGGGCTCCCCAGTTCCAGCCCGTGCTCCTGGGTGGCTGCGGGCCTCAGGGTGGTGGCTGGTGGGTGCGCAGTTCTCTGTGTCATCTGGGTGTCTTGGAGGCGGGTGCTGGTGGGGACTGGGCTCAGGGCGGCCGTGTGGGAGGTAGGACAAGTGTCTTGTCGGGAAGGCAGGAAGAGAAGGGTCCCCAGGGACCAGGCTGTCCACGTCAGAGGCCATGGGTGTGGCCGGGTGTAGCCAGCAGCCCACAGGTGGATGTGGGGGCCACAGGGGTCAGAGCGCTGGGTGGGATGGGGCGCAGGGGCAAGCCCAGGGAGGGAGGGCAGGGCACCAGCAGGGGTGCTAGGGACGATCTGGGTGGGGGCCCTTGGCACAGCCAGACTGCAGGGGCTGAAGATGGGGTGTGCTGAGGGCTGGGAGGAGTCTGGCTCTGCAGTGCACAGTCCCCTCGGGCGGAAAGCCGGCAGCCCATGGCCCCGAGGTGGCCCTGCCCTGTGGCCCACAGCCCTACTGGAGCCGGGGTCTGGGGATGGGGTGAGCAGCTGGAGGCTGGTGCACAGGGGTTGAGTCATGTGGACAGGGCCACAGAAGGCCCTGGGCAGGGAGGGGGCAGGGAGGCAGGCTCGCCCGTCCCAGGGGAGCGTGTGCCTCTGAGTGACGGGCTGCATGCCAGCTCCGCACGCCCTCACGGGGGAAGGTCCTGGGGTCGCTCAGTGGCACGACCGTCACAGCCTAGGGCTCAAGGGCCCGGTGGCCCTGGAGCAGGGGAGGGCAGCAGCCGAGGCCGCACCTGGTAGCCCTGGGCCTGTCCCCACGCGGGCGCCAAGGGCCCTCGCCGCCCTTCCCGCTGCGGGGGTAAAGGCTGTGCTGGCCGTTCGCGGTTTTCCGTGTTCCCGCCGCGTCCTGTGGGGGCCCCTGGCACTCTTCTTGCTCTCCGTGCTGACTCGAGCCAGTTGCGCTGCCCACGTGTGGGCCACTGGCCACGGGAGCCAGCACCCTCTGCCCTCTGAGGCTCGGTGACCAGGGGCAGTCCCTCTCCTGGGAGTAGGTGGTCTTGGGGTCTGCTAAGATATGGCCAGAGGCTGTCTGCAGAGCCGAGGGCTGGGGGGCCGGGTGCTGGGAGGCCGGGTGCTGGGAGGCCGTCCTGAGCTGGGGAGCCCCGACCACTGGACGGGGCGTGGCAGGTGGGCGGTGTCTGTGCGTGGCGGGCAGGCGGGGCAGGTGGGAGGTGTCTGTGCGTGGCGGATGCCCCGACCACTGGACGGGGCGTGGCAGGTGGGCGGTGTCTGTGCGTGGCGGGCAGGCGGGGCGAGCACCTGACTGTGCCCTGTGTCCGCAGCGTTCCTTCACCCTCATCGTGGAGGCCTGGGACTGGGACAACGGCACAGCCCCGGACGGTGAGTGCGCCGGGCTCGGCCCCAGACGCGCGTCGCGAGAGGCCTGGTCCTCTGCCCGCCATGCGCCAGCACGGCCGCCTCCGTCCTGAGGGGCTCGCGTGCTGTGCCGTTTTCGCCCGGGCTGCTAGGAAGCTCTGCTGTGTCCGTGATTCGCGGAGCTGTGCGCGCGCTGTCCTCCCCGCCCTCGGCCTCACCCGTGTTCTGGTGGGCGTGCTCTTTTGGGGCTATGTTGGTGGCATAGAGGAGCAGGGCGCCCCCAGGCTCTCCCCGGTTCTTGGCCCCTTCTCTGCCTGCCTGTCCTGGAACGTGGGGCGTGGTGGCCTTAGCGGCCGGCCTGTGCCTGGGGCTCTGTGGGCCCCGTGCTGGTAGGGCACACAGGTTTCCTGGGCAGCACGTGCAGAGGCCCCGAGGCCGGCATGAGCCTGGCGTATTCGGGGAGACGTGTGGGGCTGCGTGGCAGGGGCAGTGGTGAGGTTAGTGAGGCCAAAGTCAGGCCAGGGAGGCTTCGAGCCCAAGGTCCCACAGGAGATGATGCTAGGGGACAGTGGCCGGGCTGGGCGTGGCAATCAGGGGACCAGGAGGGTGAGGGGATGGGTCCCCTGGGTCTGGGTTGGAAAAATCCAGAGAGGAGGGTGATGGTGTGAGGCTTGGCAAGGCACCTCGGCAGGGCTGGGCTCAGTGGGCGGGCGCAAGGCCTTGCCAGGGGATGGCGGGAGGGCGGGGTCTCTGCTCGGAGCAGCAGAGGGAGCGTGGGGTGCACAGAGCTCTGGCTCTTCACTGGGGATGATCCCAGCTGTGTGAAGCACAGGGGGCGGCTTCACGGCCCCCGCTGGCAGCTCAGCCCTGCTCGAGCTGTGGCTTGACCGGAGGTGAGGCCCAGCTGTCGGGTCACTGGGCCCGTGTGTGCCTCGGGGGCGGAGAGAAGGTGCGCTTCAAGACTGGGCAGTGGCGGTGCGCCCACCGCCACGAACGACCCAGGGAGGGGGTCTGGAGCAGGAGAGAAGGGAGGACAGTTGGGGGCGTCCACACAGGGGGGCCCTGGTGTGGGAGGGGGCGCCCCCACCTGCCTGCATTTGGGGTGGGGAGCAGGAGTCCGCTCCGGGCCCTGAGCTTCCTGCCATGGCCTGGCCAGCGACCCCGCTGTGCCCACCCGCGGCCCGGGCTGGCCTCCCCGCGGGCTGACTCTGCTGCCTCCCCAAGAGGAGCTGCTGGTCGAGCGGGTGTCGCACGCGGGCATGATCAACCCTGAGGACCGCTGGAAGAGCCTGCACTTCAGCGGCCACGTGGCGCAGCTGGAGCTGCAGATCCGCGTGCGCTGCGCCGAGAACTACTACGGCCCCGCCTGCAACAAGTTCTGCCGGCCCCGCAACGACTTCTTCGGCCACTACAGCTGCGACCAGTACGGCAACAAGGCCTGCATGGACGGCTGGATGGGCAGGGAGTGCAAGGAAGGTGCGTGGCCGCGGGGGGCCGGGCGGGGCCTCCTGCGGGGCCGCAGTGGCCGGCGAGTGGCGCCACGCGGCTGGCTGCAGCGGGCTCTCTGCTCCACTCTGTTGCAGCTGTGTGCAAACAAGGCTGCAGCCTGCTGCACGGGGGCTGCGCCGTGCCCGGCGAGTGCAGGTGAGTGCCGTCCCTCCATGTCCCGGCGCCCCACGCAGACACCGCCCTCGGCAGAGGCCGGCCAGGCACCTGCCATGCTGGGGCGCTGTGCTGGACACCGGGGACACAGGCCCTGCTCCCAGGCAGCTTATAGTCCATGCGGGGACACCTGTGGCCTCAGAGCCTGGGCCGTGCCCAATGGCCATAGCCCCACAAGGAATCGGGGCAGGGAACCAGGAAGGTATCCAGGGCCACTTCATGTAACGTGACCAGGGGCGGAGCCTACAGGCCGAGAGCCACAGCACGGGAGGAGCAGGTGCAGAGAGCGTGGGGGCTTGTGCTCCTGGACGAGGAATGGAGAGGCCAGTGAGCGGGGGGCGGGACCCAGGAGCGGCCGCTGGAGGGTTCAGAGCTGGCGAGGTGGGCTGGACGGGCCAGGGCAGCTGCCATGGGGAAGAGCCAGGTGGGCGGGCTGCGGGAGGCGGGCGGGGTGGAGGAGGGCAGGTCACGGTTGGAGGGTGGCGTGCGTCCTGCCCCCTGCCTGGGGTGTGTGGGCCGGCCCGACACACGGGGGCTCTTGCGGCTTTCAGGCGGGGTTCAGAGCCCCAGGCTGGAGGCCGATGGAGAGAAGAGGGCAAAGGGTCAGCCTCAAGGGCCCCGTGGTAGAGGCTGCTGAGGAGAGCAGAGGCCACCTGAGGTCCCGGGTTGGGCGGGTCGGGTGGGAGGGAGCCGTGTGGCCCGGTAGCGACGTCGAGGAGCAGGGGCTCGGGGAGCAGGGCTTCCTCACTGGGCGCAGCAGGCACGCACGCCGGGGTCCGTGAGGTCGGCTGGGGACATGGGGCCGGGGCCCAGGTGGGTGCTCTCGGCCCTGGGGAGGGGCTGCGAGTTGGCAGAGAAGTGAGCGGATGGGGGTGAGTGATGCCCTCTGCCCTAGCTTGGGGTTCCACTGCCCCTGGGACCCCTGAAGGGTGGGTTTGCTTCCACACGCGTGTTTCGGACGAGGACGCTGGTGTGGAGATGTGAGGTGACTTCCCTGGGGTCACAGGGACGAGTTTGCACCAGAGCGTGAGACTGGGAGCCAGGAAGCGGGGCAGGCGGTGACCCCTGCACTTGTGTGGTGGCTTTGGTCCGTCTGGGGCGGGGCGGCGAGCGGGCTGCTCAGGGGGAACGGCAGGGGCTTCACCCACCCGGCCCCTCACCCTGGAGAGTTTCAGTTAAGTCCAGTGAGCCCCAAGGGGTGGTGACACAGCAGTGTCCCTGGTGGGGCCTGGCCCCGGGCGGGCGCGTGCCTTGGGGGACAGGCATCCCCAGGAGCTGAATCCTGGAGGGAGGGTGTGTGTGGGGCTGGCTGTGCTGGGGTAGGGGGCCCGCCCTCTGCTTGCGAGGTGAGCACGGGAAGCGGTCAGTGGGCTGGGTCTCCGCCCTGCACACTGGGCTGGGTGGCACGTGCCGTGCCCACCTCCGTGCCTGCCTATGGCCTTGGGGGGCGGGCCCACATGACCGCAGCGGGTCTCTGTCCTTCTCCCCGTGGGCGTGGGTTTACAAGAAACTGAGAGGCAGGACTCCTGCGGACAGAGGCCTGCAGGGCTGTCCAGGGGTAGGTGAGCCCCCACCGCCCTCCCAGGGGCCTGTGGGTGAGGCCCAGCTGCTCCCGTGGCTCAGGGCTCAGGTTTCAGGGCAGGACACCCCCACCGGATGCTGCCGAGGTGGCCCTGCCTTCCTGCTGCCTCCTCCTGACTTCTGGGCTTCTGAGGCTGGGGCAGCTGGGAGGCGGGGGCCTGCCGGGGGCTGCCCCTCCCAGGGCCAGGAGCACGCCCTTGGGACCGCTCTGGCCACCCGAGGCACCAGGGCCCTGCCCGAGCCTGGTCTCCCACGGCACCGGGGGGAGGGTCCGGCGGCGGTGCGCGGCCCACACCGGCACGGACCACCCCCCCGCATGTGGGCCGGACGGCGGAGCCCCTTTGCAGCCTCAGTCTCCCCAGCCTGTGCCAGCTGAGCCACCGGCGTCCTCGGTGATGGCGTGGGGCCTGGGCGGCCCAGGAAGAGCTGTGGGTCTTTCCTTTACCAAAATAAGTTCATGTGGCGGGTGCGAGTCGCTCCCTCCCCAGGGACCTTGGAGTCTAGGAAGGGGGCTCCTGGGGTCCTGCTCAGGACCTGAAGGGCAGCCCCCAGGCCCAGGGGTGTCTGCCGAAGGATGGTGGGTGTCCCCCCGATGGCAGTGTCTCCCAGTCAGACGGAGCTCGGGGCCCTGGGAGGGCACCCGGCCTCTGTCCACTGGGAGGTGCCTGGAGCAGCCACAGCCCAGGATGGGGCCTGAGCGATGGCCTTGGGAGCCTTTTCCGCCCTGGCCACGGGCCCCTCGCCCTGAATGGCTTCCCCAGGGGATGCTGGCCCACAGCGTGGGGGCGTGGCCTTGGAGCCAAGAGGTCTCTTAAGGCCACTTGCCAGGGAGCAAGTGACTTCCTGGGTCAGGTACTGTCCTGAGTCTGGCCTCTCATGGGGCTGTCTGGGTGCAGCCCGTGGCCCTCGGTGCCCCATGAGATGGGGCCCTTGGTGGGGCTTTGCTGGGACAGAGGTTACCACCCGTGGTTTCAGTGACGTCTCGAGCTGTGCCCAAGGTCACACGGCCAGGGCTGGGCCAAGAGCCCTCGGCGATGTGCTGCTGGCCTGCTCAGACCTGGTGCCACCAGCCCCTGGCGGCACCGGGCACGTTCAAGCTGGCACTCATTCCCGGGGTCCCGCAGGGCCTCCCTTTCCCGGCGCCTGCTCTTGGGGCCCTGCTCAGGGCTACGTCCCAAAATAGCTCAGAGAGAAGTGACTGGACAGCTGCGGCCCACTGTCCTCGGCCGCCGGCCGGGAAGCGCCTGTGACAGTGTGCGCCGGCGGGCGTGCCAGCTGTAACCCCACCTGGCCCGAGGCCTGCTCCAGTTTAAAGGCCCAGGCTGCCAGCCCCGGGGGTGGCCCGCGTGACTCCGCCTGCGTCCCCGCGCTGCCCTGGCAGCGGCCACTGCTCCCGGGGTACCCCCTCACCCCCCGGGCCCCGCGGCCCTTGGACTTCCCCAGGTGCAGCTACGGCTGGCAGGGCAGGTTCTGTGACGAGTGCGTCCCGTACCCGGGCTGCGTGCACGGCAGCTGCGTGGAGCCTTGGCAGTGCACCTGCGAGGTCAACTGGGGCGGCCTTCTGTGCAACAAAGGTAGCGGGCGGGGGCCGCGGGGGCGGAGGCG